TAATTTCTAAAATGGTTGATATGTAGTTTCTATCTCTCTGTAGTCATATTTAGGATTCTACCTTAGCTAAATGATGATGTTAATTTTTAATCCATTGTTTATTTTTGTTGTGGTGGCAGTGGTTATTATTGTGGCTGCTTCTATTTGTTGAGTTCTCACTCTGTGTCTGCCAAGATTCTCTATATGCATAACCCAAATCTATTTTAGAGGAAGGATACACCTGTAGAACATCAGCCCTGGAGTCTCAACCATCACATAAAGCATGGACATTGTAGGGGTGGATAAACCTATAATAGAGCCGTACTCTTTCTGAGAATGGTATGAGAGTTGGACAGCCACTGCAGATTTTTCAGAAGGGATCATAACTTCTCAGTGGGTTACAATGACATTCCTGGAGACCAGAAGTTTCTCCTGATGATTGAGTGGGTGCTTCAGGGCATTGTACTAATACCGAGCAGGGGTCAGGAACCTGAATTATAAGCCCCATCTGCCACTGGCAACTGTGTGCAATTGCGGCAAGTCCTTTCTTCTCTCTTGCTTTTCCTTTTGTAGTCATCTAACTGAGGTGACTGGACCCAAGGACTCCCAAGTATTCCTTCCTATTCTGACATGTAGAGGCCTTTTTGATTTCTGAACAGTCATGGCTTTCTCTCTTTTAGAGCTAAGACTTTTCCATGGATGGGGTTTGAAGAACACAAAGATTGCTGGAAAAGAGCTTGTTTCCCCTAATCTTGTAGAAGTTGTAAAGGTTTTTAGTCAAGAAAGACACAGAGGTGACTTATTTCTTAAAGGAAGCTGCTTATGTGTTTGCAGAATCTATAGGAGCATACTTCCCTGAGGCAAATCAAACTTTTTGGTGCCTTCTGTCCAAACCTCATAATTCAATGGAAAAACACGTTATCCCAGAAACTGGAACAACAGATGGGACTGCCTATTTGTCTAAGTCATACAGCCTCTGTAGATGGGAGGAAGGTCGGGTACTCTGAGAGATTTTAATATACATTTAGCAGAAGTTAATGAAGAAGTCCACAGCTTGGGGCAGCTAGTTTCCATTAATGTTGTTAAATATTAATGAGGTGCTTTTACTCTTTGGAGCAAAGCAGCATGCCTGATGCACCTTTTTTAATTACTGCATCCTTAGCAGGTAGCAGAGAACAGAACTGCTGAATATGGTTACATTTAGCAAAGAGCATTAAAATATTTTTCACTTTCCTTAAGCTACTAAAGAAAATACCCTTCCTTTACAGATTACCAATATTTCCTAGGTTTAATAGCCTTCAACACGTTCACCTATAAGAAAATCGGGAAATTTTCTAGAAGTAGTACAAATACCACGGCCCAATAGTCTACATAAATAGTACTTAGAAATAAGATATTTGTCCATTCCCCTCTCTCCCCTTACAGTCTCAGGTGTCTATACTTATCCTCCCTATGAATGGTAGTGAGTGAATGGGAGGGGCAAAGTGAAGAAACACTTAACAGACACAAGAATGTAAAACTCTCTGTTGAAAATAGTATATATGGTAATATCCTTGATTTGATTATTATGTACTTTAAAAACCATATTGTGCACTATATGATAGACTAACTTTTTTTAAAAAAGAAATAACATATTTGGTGATGTGCCAATAGATATTTAATTATGAGCTCTCTGGGGAGAATTAAATAAATAAACCCTGGCTAGTAGCTTTTCCTGAGTATGGACATATCCTTACAATGGCAGATTCTAAGCTCCCCACATGACATTAGCGGATCCAGGCCTGTGAAGAGACAGATAGTAGCACAATATATGATATTGTGCAGTGACAATAAATAATGTGTAGTAATTAGAAATTTATGCATTGGAGTATTTATTACATTATTAATCTAATTTATATAATTGAGGTTTTATATTACTTGATTTTCAATAGTAGTTTGTTTAATGATCATTAATTAGCTTGTAAAATTCCTGAAATTTTAATAGTTAGCACTCACGAGCTATTACAAGCTGGCACGATACTGAGTCAATATGAACCATCAGAATGGAAGGTCTCCAGTAGTTGATTGAAAGGCTTGACAAAAGACTTGCTTGGCAAAAACGTCCTTCTTCCTTTCTTCTAGTTTCATTTAAGCATGATCATATCAAAGCTGGTGTTGAGTTCCACTTTTCCAGCTAGCAATCAATGACTAGTTTACATTCACTGCACAGGTATCTGTTGAGCACAAAGGAGTACTCTCTATGGCCCACCCTGGAGAATTAGATATGGACTCACAGTCTGTCTGCAGAGATTGATACAACACAATGGAATAATTAGTGTGATTTTTAAAAAAATCTTAAATTGACACATAATATTTTATCTATCCATTATCTATTATCACATGGGGAATCTTGTGATTTTCAACACAAGAATGCTGTGTTTTGTTAAGTCAGGGTAATCAGCATAATCATCATTTCAACCATTTGTCATTACTCTTTTCTAGCTACTCTGAGAAAAATACAACAAATTGTTAATTCTAGTTACTCTACTGTACTTTATCACACTAAAACGTCTTCCTCTTATCTCTATGTAATTTTGTATATATTAACCAATATCTATCTGTGCACATTTATTTATCCCCTACCCTTCTTACCCTCTAGTAGTCTCTTCTGCTCCCTTCTTTTATGAGATCATCATTTTCAGTTTTATATATGAGCCAGAACATGCAGTTTCTCTATCTGTGCCTAGAGTATTTCATTTAATATAATGCCTTCCATGTTTGCCCATGTTAGTGTGATTGGTATTTTACGCAGTTAGAATCCTTAAGAATCAGCAGGTGACAAAGTGGTTAAGGTGCTGGACTCTCACATGGCCGACTGCGGTTTAAGTCCCAGACCCAGTGGCTTGAAAATTACACTGAATGTGTTTCTATATGTGCCCAAATCCAGAGAGGAGAATGGAAGAGAAAAGATTCCAGTGTGATCATCACCCCCTGGGAGGGGGGGGGGAGATTAATTGCTCACTTTCTCTTTCTTTGTCTCTATATCTCTCTCTCAGCAGTGCACCTACTCTATGGAAAAAAAATCTTAAAAAAATAAAAAGGAATATTTACTCATTGAATATTTTTCTATACCTTCAATATTCTATCTTCTGTTCTTGTCCCTTATATTGGTTAATAAGAGAAAAAAAAAGCAAAACAAAAGAAAACGACAAAGATCCCTAGTCTTTTGTAACTTACTAACATGTTATGGCCCCAAAGATTTTGTCTGGGAAGTCAGAGATGACCTCAGATGACCTAGATAAAAAGAAGGATAAGCAGGAAACTACCAAACACCGGAAAAGGTAGAGTGCTTCAAGCCTAGGAAACAACATGTGGAAAGATAAAGAGGGTTGTGAGGCTTTGCTAGGAGTGTTCAGCTATGGGTTGGGTGGAGGAAGAAAAGTGAGAAGGTGGGGTGGGTCAAGCTGGGCAGATCATGTATGTGATCTCATTAATCGGTTGGAAATTTTTTTGTTTTTTAATTTTTTTAATTTAAATTTAATTACTATATATCTTTACAGTGTACAACATTGCTTTTTATCGCTTGAAAATGGTGTACATCAAAGATATTAACATAGACATTATTATCAGCAAATAACTTTTCATTTTTGTATCAATCAAATATACTGTTGTTTTTTTTTCCCTATAATTTTTAATTGTGTTGTGTAGTGCCATGCTGCAGTTGGATTTGGGTTGTTGTATCTCCCCCCCAAGACTGAAAACCTCTGGAAGGAAGGGATTATTTTACCTCTTTTACAGGAAAGAGCACATATTGAACAATGAATAAATGTTGAATTCTTTATTTTTATCTCCCCATTATTCCTATTCTAGATACACAGATAATTTGCATGTTTTCATTGGTCTTTTATGAAATCTTGGCTCAAAGAATATGGGATCAAAAAAGAAAGAAAAGTAAGAGGGGTTGATACTGAGGCACTGAGAGAGTGACTTCCCTTGCTGTTGTATGTTTCATTAATACTCAGTGGATATTCAAATGTCCAGATTGTGCTGTTCAATCTGTGGATTTCAGGAAAAGTTTAGATGCTTACACTCTTAAACTGGAAGCATGATTCTCCTGCCAATTGAAGATACCCTCAGTGACTTCTGGTTGGTTATAGAACAATAATCCTTTTTACTTAATTTATTGGTCTTCTGAGTTGACATTTACACACCTGAGAGCCTTATAAAACTTCAAGTAGAGAAACACTAGACTTAGGATGGGGATCCTCCTTTCCTATGCTGGTTTGTTACATTTTGCAAGAAGGAAAAAGGGGGAGGAAATCGTACCTTACTATCTTTGTTCATTTTATCATGACTGGGATTTTACAGACCCATAGAAGTGAGCTATCATGCAGTCTTGTTTTTATTTTTAGGGAAAAAAAATATTATATGTAGACAGGAAATGTTTGAATGACTCTCTATATATGAATACACATATGTATGTGTGTTTGGGAGAGTATGTTTGCATGGAAAATGAAAATAAAATCCATGAAATCAATTTTGGAACAACACATACTGAAATGCAACAGAGAAATATATCTTGACTTTTGAAGTCATACTCTTGGTTGTCATCTACTTATTTTATTACTTATACCGTGACCCATAATATGCTTTTAGCACCCACACACTCACCCCAAGGGCAGTGGACTTGCTACATTACACAGAATGGGTCTTCAAAAATGTTTGTACCAAAATAAACTCAAAATTCAATTCCATTTCCACAAGCTTTTTTTAAGTACCCATATGTATCCATCCTTTGTTGAAACTTAGCAGTTTCATTTGATAATCCACTACTTTTTTCATAGAGTACTCTCCAAATGACTTGGATTATTTCAAAACTTAAAAATCTATTTCTAAGTATCAATGTTTGCCTTCACTGGGGATTATTTGAAGCCACATATCATGACTATTTGGACAGTAATAAAGACACAGATATGTTGGTGTGAATCTGTGGTTAGTACTTGTACATATATTCTATTATGCAGTATTAATTTTCTTGACAGTGACTATGGCTATGAAAGACATGGGGAGAGCCAGTGTGTCCCAGCTTTCTGGTACAATCCAGCATCCCCGTCAAAGGACTGTAGCCTCGGCCAAAGCTACCTTAATAGTACTGGGTAAGTAAAGCACCTAAAGGAACTCCAATCATTGTTTTCCTGTTTCCCAAAGTTGGGATCAAAGGGAACACATTAACATTGAAAAAGATAAACATGTTCGTTTATGACAAGTGACTTCTGAGGAAAACTGAGAAGTTCTTGAGCTAAGAGTACTTTTCTTTCTTTCTGTTTCTTCTCATTACCTAGAGTTCAATGTTTTACCGTTTACCTTTGACAGATCCTATTTATTGTTTTAGTTAAGCCTCTTCTAGAAAGAGATGCTACCTTATTTCTTGGATTTTAAGAGAAGTTAATACAAGTGGTGGGCAGATGTTACAGTGCTTGCTCTCTAGTGATAGATGGACTGAAGCTCTCAGGTCGTGATGCTGAAAACTTTAAATGAAAATTCAAAAGTCCCATTCTAGGACCGTCTAGAAAAACAAGGTCAAGACACACTTTTGGTAATTCTGCAAATATGTGTGTGTTTCTCTCTTTGTTCACTTAGTAGTTGCTCTTTTAGATGTTTTAAAAATGTTTTCTTGAAGGTTTGTTATCTTGCCCCTTTACTGCCTCCATGATCCGGAACAGGTTTGGCAAGTGGATGTCTACTTTTCACATTTTTATGTGCCTATCTATCATCTGGGGATCTTGTTAAAATGCAGTCTTTGATTTTTGAAGATCTGGGGTGTGGTTGAGAGTTTTCATTTTTAACAAGCTCCCATGAGATGTTGATGCTGTTGGTTCCTAGACCATTCTTTGAATAGTGAAGAACTAAGGTATTCTAGACTCTAGTCTCATCTCTTCTAATGGGTCTTCTGGTCTCTCAGCCAAGTTTACTTATGTTTTGATCTCACCTGGTTGTAACATTGTAGCAGGTGCTATTCTCCCAATTGGTCTCTATAGAGTTAAAACAGTCACAATGGAAAAACTGCTAAGTGGTCAGTTACTCTGAAAAACATGATATTTTTATCCAAATATTTGTTTGGGGGAAGGCTATTCCTGGAACATGGGGTAGAGCTTAAGGACCTTTGATGTTATTTTATTGTAGGGAGTTAAGCCATTCATACTGGCAGCATGACTTTGGAGAGATGTGGGTCAGAGAACAGCATGCTCGAAAGTTTGAATAATGGACACAAGTGACCAGCTGGGCCACCAAATTTCCAGCCAGGTCATACCTTAGACATAATTGGAAAAGAATCATAATAGGCTGCCTAGTATGATTATGAGATATGTATAGGTGGACCAATTTAAAGCAACTTAAGGCCACCTAAACCCCCCTAATAGCACACCAAATAAATAAGGTATATCAAAGGGAAAGGTTATGCATTTTTGCAAAAAATTCACTATAGATGTCCACAAAAAAACCCTTCATACTTCTTAAATGTTGGCTTAATTTACAATTTATCAGTAAGCTTGAGTGGACAGACTGGTGAGGTTAAAAAGAGAAAAAAAAATAGATGATATCAAATTTGCATTAGGACATGGTAGCCTCTGACATAGCTACCATAAATAAAAACTAGATATCTTGTAACTGAATGTTATAAAGAAAGTATAAATTGATGAGAAAAATTTGATTACTTAGACCAATGATGTCCAAAAGAACTATACTATAAGTCACAAATGTAATTTTTAATTTTCTAGAAGCTACATGAAAAACTTTTAAAGATATTAAATTAACTTCAGTAACATATTTTATTTAACCCAAAGTATCCAAAATATTATTACTTCAACATGTTATACTAACCACATTTCATGGGCTTAATAGTCACATGGAGGAAGGGGATTACCATATTGGATAGTATCACTCTAGACTAATTTTGAGCTCCAATGGTAATTAAAAATGATGTATATCTACAAGAGGATATATTGTAATTCCATCTGAGGAGGTAATTATGTACAACATTTGCTTAACATCCCCATGGGACCTCTGGAAGGAGGTATAGAGCAGGTGTTTCACCAGAGATGATGCAGGCAAAATGTCAGGCATATTGGAGGACCCAGAACTCAAATTTCTCTGCTTTTGAGGCCATCAAAAGACAGCAACATGGGTAGATTAATTAGTTATTCCTGACAGAGAGTGAATGAAGACAGGACATGACTGTGATGGTGATGGTGATGGCAGTATTGGTGGAGGTAATATATTTATTTTATGTGGTTTTACCAGAACATTGATTTTAGTGCAGGCTTATAATTGATAATGTGCCTGGGAACCTACTAAGCAGGTCGGGGCTATAGGCAAGCTCTTGGCTTGACTTCATACACTGGTGTCAGTGGTCAAAGGAGGGGACATGGTGTCACTGTGCACAAAGATGTCTTTGTTAGGGAAGATCACAGTGCTTGTTGGGAGATTTTTGTAGGTCAACCTCATCTTTAAGGTAATTTTACTCTGGCAAGATTGAATAGGAGTTTCAAACTTGTGCTCCGAATCTGGCATTTTGTGTTGAATGGGAAATGAAATATTAGCAAGGAGAGAAAATTGCTATCAAATAGCTCAGTGGCTGCAGAGTAAGGGCTATTAGGTATTAGATAGAGGAAGGAATAATGACCTGGGAGTGGAGAGAAGACAGGAAGAGGCTTCCTGATTAATCAGAGTTAGAAAAGCGATGTTCTTGTTGCTTTCTGGGACAGAGAAAACTGGAGGTGGCCTGAGGGAAATAGAAACAGGCCCCTCCCGTGGAGAGAGAGAGAGCACCTGTTTAACCACATCCCTAGTCCAGTGGTCTGCCTCCTCCTCTGCTGTGTGTGAGTCAGACATTGATTTTTCTTGGCTAGTTTAGACACTGATCTGAGCCGTGGCTCACCATGCAGGATCGATGGTAATGTGTAAGAAGCTACTCTTCCAGAGATGGAGGGATAGCAGTCATCAGCATTTGCTTAGTTTTAGAAATGGCTCTGCTTTCTTTGAGACTCAGTGTTTAGGTGAATTGAAGTGTTTACTTTGCTGTTGTTCTCTTGCAATCTCTTTATAACACACACACACACACACACACACACATTCAAGTGCTCAACACAAGCCACATCATTGTCAGTTGTCAATTCCCCTTAGGTACCGGAGGATTGTGTCCAACAACTGCACAGATGGACTGAGGGAGAAGTACACTGCCAAGGCCCAGATATGCCCTGGAAAAGCCCCTCGTGGCCTCCACGTGGTGACGACTGACGGGCGCCTAGTGGCAGAGCAGGGGCACAATGCAACCTTCATCATCCTCATGGAGGAGGTAGGTGCCCACCTGGGTCCCTGAGGTGGGAACTCACAAGGAGACCATTCCCTGCAGAGCAAAAAGGAAAGAAATATCCTGCATTCCCTGCGCCAGAGTCAATGGTGAGAGGTGAGACTTCTGGGAGAAGAAAGAGGTGAAAGAGTGCTTGGGGTATTAAAGACTCTCCACCCTTCACTCCACAATAAAATCCCAGGCCTTGGTGGGACCCACTCATCTCTGGGGAGTTGCAGATTAGGACATATTCTTTGAGGTTCCCCTTATGATTCATTTTACTGAAGGAATATTTACCAACATAAGCCCATAACCTATAAACTTTGCCAGAAGAAGGAAATTCACATTTGATCTGTTGCTTTTAGGAACCTTTTTTGTTTTATTCTAACCCAAGCTCCATTGACTCAATAGGCCCACAGGCTTTTTCAAGACCAAAAGGTCATAAAATTATGAGTATGAGGTTGGGAAAGATTATTGAAATCCTTTAAATTTATCTTTATAAAGAATGTGGTATTAGCTCCTTTTCCATCAGCTAGCTGCTCCATTGACTCACTTTTTAGTGTCTTTTGCAATCTGGACAATAAAATCAGACTGCATACATTTATTCCAGGATAGAAACCGTCTCTACTGTCTGCTTCTTGCTCTCTGGATGAGCTGCTTTTTCTCTTCTCAAACCAGGGAAGTTTCAGGCAGTCCTTGCTGAAGTGGAAGGGCAAGAAGGCTTTCCTGATTGACACAGCTCTCTAAATTTATATGCAAATTGCTCCCTGCTCTTGAGCTCTTGGAAAGAAAGCAAAACAGGCCAGGAGGTTTCTCCCCACTCTCAAAGTATGAGCACTTCAGAAACCTTTAAATCAGGATCAACCTGGACAGGAAAGTGAAGTTTCCTTATCCTGGTTGGCAGATTCCTCAGCCTTTCCTCAACACCAGGTGCTTGAATTAAAAGACTTTAAGATTCATAGGAGGTCATTATTACATTTCCACTAGGGAATTTCCAGGACCAGAGCTATAAAAACCTTCTCTTGAATGGATGTGAAGAGTCACGATCTTATCCATTTGAATTGCCTCCAGTTCATTTCCACTTTAATTTATATTCATAAACTCAAGGGTAGTTGACATTGTGTGGGGGCAAGAGAGTACCTATCAATATTTCATTCACATCTGGGTTGCTATGGGCGAAGAGACAGTAAGTGGAGCTGTGATCAATCCACATACACTGGGCAGAATTGGCTCATGATTCCAAAATGACCTTTTTCTCTCTCTATCATCTGGTTTTGTATAGGAACAGAGAGATCTGATTTTTATTTAGGATCCTTGTTTAGGGGTCAGATTCATTGCATTTATCTAAAGTATTGGCCCAAGATAGTTGTTGGTAGTTGGGGGAAGAGGGTACAGGAAGGATGCCTTAAGAAGCGAGGCATCAGCTTGAGGTATGGTGCACTCACCTGAACCAGTGGCATCCTGTCACCAGGTAGTGCACAGGTAGCTCCCGGCCTTCCGAGAGACAGAGAGAAATGACTTCAGGGAAGAGGCCTGGAAATTTCAGGGAAATCTGAGGGTGACAGTACAGATACATAACTTCAGGGAGTATGCTGAACTCATCTATAGGATGAAAATAATCATCACACTTTGTAAAGTTATTCTGGAAAATGTCATTATATGATATGAATTCACCATATCATGGTTTTTGAAACATAGCAGTAAATGCTCAAAAATAAGAGCATTTATAATTATGGCATGGTGGTTTAGAGCATTGGTATTGAAACTAGATATCTGGGTTCAAAATTTGGATCTTCTACTGTTAGTTGTGAGACTTGACCTATTTATTTCTCTTTTGTTCTTATTTGGAAAATTGGGACAATATGCTTTCTACAGTATAGAGTTGTGAGATGAATTGTTTGGCATTGATGAGGTGTTATTATTATTGCTATTATTACTAAGACACAGAAAGAGAATAAGTGAACTGTGTGTGAGGGAGTCAGGGAAGCCCTTGTTTTCCCCATTACAGAGATACATAGAGGTGCCACCTTACTACGGTCAGTGTCACACCAACTCAGGCTACCCTGAGCTCACGCGCCAAGGGGAATAGATCCCTAGTGTCAGCCTTTAGTGCCCAGTGGATATCAGATAGGAGTCTAATGATTCTGTTAGGGTGTTTCAGCTCCCTGGGAAAGACTGTCAATCTCGGGGGGTGATGCCAATGCCACAGGTTGAAGCATCAGGTAGGAAGGAAGGGATAACACATATACAATCTCAGGCCAGCAGCTGTTCCTTCTTCTGCAGGGTGATCTCCAGAGGACAAACATCCAGCTCGACTTTGGGGATGGAATTGCTGTGTCCTATGCAAACTTCAGTCCCATTGAAGATGGCATAAAGCACGTGTACAAGAGTGCAGGGATCTTCCAGGTGACAGCCTATGCAGAAAATAACCTAGGCTCTGACACGGCTGTGCTGTTCCTGCATGTGGTCTGTAAGTAGCATGCACCGTCCCCTTTCTTACCTTCCTCCCCGTGGACAGCTCCCTCTCTCCAGACTTGTTGGAATGCAGAACTGAGGTGGAATTCAGTCTGACTGCAGCAATGACCCAAACCAAAAAAACGGAGATGTGAAATAGGTTATTTTGATAGCTTGGATTAACGTATTACCATCGGCCCGTCCTTCTCAGTGCCACTGAGCTCTGATGGGGGTGAGCACATTTAGGTCTCTGTCCAGACAAAAGTCTCTTCCTTTGGAGAATCCTAAAAGTACAAAGAATGGAGACCCATTGGATGGATGGCCCAAGGCTCATTTGTAAACGTTTATGAGTGAAGACTACACAAATTGAACTGTTACCTCTATTGGAAAAGCAAAAAAGGATTAAAGAAACACATGTTAAGATTTTTTTCTCCTAATGTAGATTTGAACACACACAAAAATCTTAATCCTTACACCCCAGGGTACTGCAAATTCATTCTGTTGTGTATAGTTCTAAGAACTCTTCCTAAATTTTTTGCTGTCTTAGTGTCTATTTTATTGCTATTGGCTATTGCTTGACACAAAAACAGTTGCTGTTTGGATATACTTTGTTTATGTTGGATGCATTTTGTGTAATTAGTTGTCCTGGGACTTTACTCATATAAAGTGAAACTTAAAATATTGTAGTTTTCGAGTGTTGGATAAAGGGAATGTTGTCATGAGGCTGATATTGGTTTCCCACATCTTCGTCAGGAATACTCATGAGTCCGAGGGCTTCTATAGCTCTTGCTTATCCCCTGCAATGGTTTTCAAGTAATATGCTACATAGGCTAGAAATCATAACTTTTGATAAAATCTAAGTGAATACAAGAAGTACCTTTGCTATTAACAACTCAGTGATAATATAAACTTCAATAACCTGTACCTAAGAGGTCCCTGGAAAACAGTAAGCACACTAGACTCTTGGTTTTCCAGTCATGATACCTTTACAAAGACCAAAAGGTAGGGGAGGTATATAGGAGAATTCCAGAATCATAGATCAACTTGTTCCTAAAAATGCCAGGCTACATTACCAGAGATAAATGATTTCTTCTTTGGCTCTTCTGATGTATATTGGCAAAATTCTTTTTTTTTTTTTTTCAGAGGTTTTTGCTATAGGGCGCGTGTGCTCACCAGAGAGACAGAGAGAAACAGAGACAGAAAGAGCGAAATCACCCCCCAGGGAGGGTTGGCCATGCCACAATCCCTTCTCCTCCATTCTCCTCTCAGGATCTTGAGCATGCATGCACACGCATGCTGCGTGAGTTTAGGCCACCGGGTCTAGGACTCGAACCACGGTCGACTACATGGACCATTATGCTAACAGTCGACTACATAGCCATTACACTAACTGCTGGTCCCAGTAATGGCCAAATTCTGATTGCTACATTGCCTCACAGGGCTCTTACTATAGTAAATAGGAAACATAAGTAAAATACCCAGCCATTCACTTATTCAGAAAATGAATGTTTAGTTCTTAATATGTGTTAGGCACTCAAGGCACTGAGGAGGTGACAGTGCAGACATGGTCTTGCCCTTGGCCATTTTACATTCTGGTGAGGTGGGGAAGGTGTGGCTAAAAATGAGTGATGAGATAAATAGGCAAAGTGACAATGATCGCACCACCCTAACTACAGCCATTCTGTGCCATAAGGACCAGGTGATAAACCCAGACGTGCAAGATGTTCAGGAGCTCAAGCTTTAGAGCAAGAGAGACCTGGTTTGGAATTCTGATTATATCCCTGTGCTAAATGTCTAATATTTGTCAACTTTATTAGCTTTATAAACCTCTGATCCCTCATCTTGAATACTCGACTTATAAAGAGGTTGTGAAAATCAAAATGAATATAATATGTCTGTTGGGACTCCCTGAAATGACTCCTAGCTTTGATGCTTCACTGGAAGACTCACAGGACTTGGCATGTAGTTGGACTCCTGACTATGATTCATTACAGATTAAGGATACAAAGCCAAATGCACAAAGGGAAAAGGCTCAGAGGCAAAGTCTGGAGAAAACCAGGGACAGGCTTCCAAGAGTTCCCTCCTCATGGAGTCACACAGGACATGCTGATTCCTGCATCCATGAGCAGTAGGGACATACATGAGGGGCTGTCTACCAAAGAAACTCATCGGCAACTTGGTGCCATACTTTTTACTGGGGGTTGATCATGGGCAACTTCTACCTGGTATACTCCAAAACTCCAGACTTCCAGCAGAAAGCAAGTGTTCAGAATAAATCTATTGTATACAAAAAGAATGGGCAAAGAGAACCACTTTTGTCAATGAATCGTCTTTATGGGAACACTCCTAGAGCCACGTTCCCAAATAGCAGAGAAGGCAACCTTGCACACACAACTTCCAAAGGATAGCAACTTCAGGTCTGTGCTTAACATCCTTCTGCACAGTGTGTAGAACGCTGCATAGCCCCCAGCTTGCCACATGATGAATGTTACCTGTTATTATAGTAATTATTGAGTACTTGCTATTAACTTTCTGCCTGACACTACTGCTGTGTTTAAAAATGATGTCAAATAATGAAAGGAAAAAAAACAAAAACAAAAACAAAAAAACTTTACATTCCTTTATTCTAAGGACCTTCTCTACCTATGTTCCAGATTCTGTCAAGAGTAGGCCTTCCTTGCAGGGCACAAAGACATTCAATGTATCTTAGAGGCAAAAAAACACAACAGGAAGGAACAGGTTTATACTGTGGGTTATGTGCATGGAGAAGGAAATGTTCCTTGAAACTTTTATCGTGCTCATAATTCCCTCCAAATCAATCATGGCTGCATTTGCCAGACAGTTATTATAGTGAAAACTGCTCTTGGCCTCACCTTGGGCCATTAGCTAACAAAAGTCGTTGTTAGCGGCCCATAATAACCGATTTCACAAAAATTATTAGATTTTTATCAAAAGGGACACTATTTGACAGTGAGAATTTTAAGAGTTTGCCATGTTCCCTCCTGAATCCTTTCCCTTTAGCTCTCTCTTATAACTGATCCGCGGTTTGTCTCAGAGAGACATCAAAGCCTGAGCATCTGGCTCAGGATCTTTGTCATAAAATACTACTATATTGGGAACCAGCAGTTAGCGTAATGGCTATGTCGCTGGACTTCCACGTAGTCGACTGTGGTTCGTGTCCTGGACCCGGTGGCTTAAAACTCACGCCGGGCGCGTGTGCGTACGTGCCCAAGATCCCGAGAGGAGAATGGAGGAGAAGGGATTGCGGCATGACCATCCCCCCTGGGGGGTGATTTCTCGCTTTCTGTCTCTATGTCTCTCTCTGTCTGTCTGGCGAGCGCACGCGCCCTACAGTGAAAATCTTTCCAAAAAAAAAAAAATACTACTATATTGTCATAAAATACTGCAATATGTATATTGGCCAAATTCTTTTTTATTTTTTAGAGGCTTTTGCTATAGGGCGCGTGTGCTCACCAGAGAGACAGAGAGAGACAGAGAGACAGAAAGTGAGAAATCACCCCCCAGGGGGGTTGGCCATGCCACAATCCCTTCTCCTCCATTCTCCTCTAAGGATCTTGAGCATGCATGCACACGCACGCTGTGTGAGTTTAGGCCACCGGGTCTAGGACTCGAACCACGGTCGATATATACTACTATTTTGTCATAAAATACTACTATATTGTAGTATTTTATGATTATTATTTTTAGAGAGATTTTTGCTACTGGGCAGTGGGTTTGCTAGAGAGACAGAGAGTAAGAAGACAGAAAGTGAGAAATCACTTACCCCACCGCCCCTGGGTAGATGGCCATGCCGCAATCCTTTCTTCTCCATTCTCCTCTTGGGATCTTGAGCACACACACCTGGCATGAGTCTTAAGCCACTGGGTCCAGGACTCAAACCATGGTCAATTATGTGGGAGTCCAGTGACATTACCATTATGCCATCTGCTGGTCCTCTTAAGATTAACTTTAACCAAATATGCTTGAGCTAAAGCGTGAGGATAGAAGTGAGAATAGAGGCAATGACTTTGGAATAAATGTGGCCATGTTTGACAGCATTCCATTTTATGGAAGCACCATCCTTTTGTGTTTGGCATGACATTATGGAGAAGGAGATCTCCTTTTAGCTTCCTGGGCATCTGAGTACATGGCAATGTCAACTCAGGCTGAGACAAGGCCCCTGAGTGACAGAAAATGGAGAATTTCCAGAGCTATATGCTATAGTTAGCTGTGGAAAATGCCAGGGTTCCGATGAGGTTGTTAATAAGTGATTGGGTGAAAACTCTGACCCAGGTGATTTACCAAGGAAGAAGGGCTTAGTATGAATGGCACCATTAGAGAGACAGCTAGGTTTTCTCAAAAAAAACTGTCTCCCAAATGTAGTTGGGGATGAGCTTTTATAGAGAAATAACTCTTCCCATCTTCATCCAGGGGTAAGTGGTCAAATGAAGGATTGAACTCATGCAGTTCTGACTGGTCAATTCAAGCAGCAAGTCTTATTGGTTCATTATTGAAATAGTACTGTTCTGGTCGGTCACTCTGCTGCAGCCAGCATCCACATTTCATCCCTGCAGTGAGATCAATGTTAGGTCACTCAGCCTTACCATCACATGAGCCCTCCAAGCAAATCCCCCAAAAAGCAGTCACCACCAGATTTCTCACATTCAGGCTAGTTTTGGCCAGTTACAAGGTAGTTTGGGGAATGGGCTTTATACCTTTTGGGGGATAATAGTGACAACAGAAGCAATGACTTCAAGGATGAAAGAGGCCCCTTTCCTGGCAGGGAAAGAATAAGGGATGTGAAATTAGGGCATGGAGAAAGACACTTGAGTTATAAATATAAGAAACAAGGCTTCTCACCACCCTCTTGGGACCTGGACTAGCCAGGCACCCCTTCCCATAACTTTCTCCTCTTCCCTATTGAACAGTAAAACAAATTACAAAGAGATAAATCAGGTAAATAACTAAAAATAAGTAATTAAAGCAATGAAAATGGATGCCATCTGCTGGTCCTCTTAAGATTAACTTTAACCAAATATGCTTGAGCTAAAGCGTGAGGATAGAAGTGAGAATAGAGGCAATGACTTTGGAATAAATGTGGCCATGTTTGACAGCATTCCATTTTATGGAAGCACCATCCTTTTGTGTTTGGCATGACATTATGGAGAAGGAGATCTCCTTTTAGCTTCCTGGGCATCTGAGTACATGGCAATGTCAACTCAGGCTGAGACAAGGCCCCTGAGTGACAGAAAATGGAGAATTTCCAGAGCTATATGCTATAGTTAGCTGTGGAAAATGCCAGGGTTCCGATGAGGTTGTTAATAAGTGATTGGGTGAAAACTCTGACCCAGGTGATTTACCAAGGAAGAAGGGCTTAGTATGAATGGCACCATTAGAGAGACAGCTAGGTTTTCTCAAAAAAAACTGTCTCCCAAATGTAGTTGGGGATGAGCTTTTATAGAGAAATAACTCTTCCCATCTTCATCCAGGGGTAAGTGGTCAAATGAAGGATTGAACTCATGCAGTTCTGACTGGTCAATTCAAGCAGCAAGTCTTATTGGTTCATTATTGAAATAGTACTGTTCTGGTCGGTCACTCTGCTGCAGCCAGCATCCACATTTCATCCCTGCAGTGAGATCAATGTTAGGTCACTCAGCCTTACCATCACATGAGCCCTCCAAGCAAATCCCCCAAAAAGCAGTCACCACCAGATTTCTCACATTCAGGCTAGTTTTGGCCAGTTACAAGGTAGTTTGGGGAATGGGCTTTATACCTTTTGGGGGATAATAGTGACAACAGAAGCAATGACTTCAAGGATGAAAGAGGCCCCTTTCCTGGCAGGGAAAGAATAAGGGATGTGAAATTAGGGCATGGAGAAAGACACTTGAGTTATAAATATAAGAAACAAGGCTTCTCACCACCCTCTTGGGACCTGGACTAGCCAGGCACCCCTTCCCATAACTTTCTCCTCTTCCCTATTGAACAGTAAAACAAATTACAAAGAGATAAATCAGGTAAATAACTAAAAATAAGTAATTAAAGCAATGAAAATGGCCCTTGTTTTCTTACACCTTGTGTTTTTTCACTCTCACTGACATAAAACTATAAAAAATAATAAATATTTCTTTTAAATTTCTTTATTTAAAGGAAGTCTTTAGACAAATGTGAATATAAAGTTATGAACTTGAAATTATTTGGTGGAAAAAATCTTGAGGTGCTTAATATCCAGAATCAGAGCTCAGAGTTGTGCACAGAAAACATTATAAGACTGTAGATACATAGATTGCTCTTTTTCTTTATTAATATTTAATTGACAAACATTTCCATATTTATCATGTTCAGTACAGTGTTTTAAAATATGTATGCACACATTGTAGAATGGCTCAATTTGTCTAATTAACATATGAATTATATACTTTTTTTGTGATGAGAACACTTAAAATTTACTCTTAGTAATCTTTAAAATACAGTATATTGCTATTAACTATATTCCTTATAGAATAAAATAGATCTGCCTAACTTATTTCTCCTATCTAACTGAAACTGTTGTATTTTTGGTCAGCATCTTCCCAACCCTTCCCTCCTCCCTCATCCCCTGCTAACCACCATTCTGCCTTCTACTTTTAAAAGTTCAAAGTTTTTAGATTTCTGCATGTCAGTGATATTTGTCTTTCTGTGTCTAGCTTCTTTTCTTTTTTTTTTTCTTTTTTTTTTGGAGAGGTTTTTGCTAGAGGGCACGTGCGCTTGCCAGACAGAGAGAGACAGAGAGACAGAAAGCGAGAAATCACCCCCCAGGGGGGATGGTCACGCCGCAATCCCTTCTCCTCCATTTTTCTCTCGGGATCTTGGGCACGCACGCACACGTACCCGGTGTGAGTTTAAGCCACCGAGTCCGGGACTCGAACCACTGTTGACTACATGGGAGTCCAGCAACATAGCCATTATGCTAACTGCTGGTCCCTGGCTTATTTTATTTAACATAATATAGATGCATAGATTATTGAATACTTGTTGAATGTTTAAGAAAGTACAAATCTGATCTGACATGTCTAGTCTCTCCACCCAAATATCAGACCCTGTCCAAACACCCTTCCCACCCAAATAAAATGACCTGTGACATTGAATATGCCCAGTGAGTTTCAGAGTGCCCATTGTTCTCAGAGTGATTTTTACCCACTGAAAAACATAAGCAGTGATGGTGATCAGGATGGCAGTCACAATAGAAATGGAGCCAACCTGTAATTGTTATGCAGTACTTTGAATGTCCACACAATACTCTTTCATAAGTTTATTGCTATACAGAAAGTGAGGCAAGTGTATCTCCTAATTTTTTAGGATAGAGTAATAGTCTGTATGGGATCATGGTTCTGTAAGATGAGGAAAAGATCATACAGCTAAATTTTTTATGCCTGAATTAAAATGAACCACCCATTTGTTTACTTTTCTATAAGTGAACTGTCTCCAAAATTACCAAAGATACAAACAGTGAAGCTAGATAGCCCGAAAAATGCCAAACCTTTGAGGAAAAACTCAAGATCTGTAGGCTACAGAGACGTTCTTGCCACAATTATGGTTTAAGACATTTAAATTAAGTCACTTTAGTCCCTGGCATTCATCAAAACGATCATGGTGAAAACCAGGAAAATGTGCTCTAGTATGATGTGGATAGATAATTAAATAGCTCAGTTTGATTTGGTTAAGTAGAAAGTTTTTAAAGGAGGGAAAGAAAGAAGGAAAAAGGAAAGAAGAAAGAGAAAACATAAAAAGGAAAGGAAAGAAGGAGGAGAGAAGGAAAAAGAATTAGGTGGGGTAGGGAGAAAATTCCAGAGTTAAAAAAATAACATTATCTAACTCCTAAATGCAACACAGAACAGCATTTTCCTCTTGTCATTTTATTTTGGAAATGAATTAAATTAAAATTCTCACGTATTCTGTCCAGGGTGTGTACGTGTGCATGTTCTTTGGCTCTCTTAGACTTTGATGCTGCTTATACAGTTTTCTGAGGAAAAAAGAGAAGCAACTTTTTATTGTCTTCGAGGCTAGTATTTGCTTTTCCTTCAACTTAAAGAGATATGCTTTTCCCTTTTTTGTACAATGGCCTTGCCAGCTTCTGAGTAACACCCACTGTGTACTGGAGATGACCTGGTACAATGGCCAATTGTTGAAGATGGAAACCAATTAACAGTTGAGGATAAAGAAAGAGTCCTCAATGGACTCTTTGTCAGTCACACAATGCACTGACCCCAATGCAGGCTAATCATCACAAATGAAATAGACTGTTTATCTTCCTATTTATTGGCTAAGTGTCTGGCGAACTAGCTTTGTTCTTGGGTTGCTGGTTTAAAAGCATTCATGGTTAGGTTTATCAGATGTAAATTTTAAGGTGGCTGGATCCCACATGGCCGACTGTGTGGTTCAACTCTCAGACCCAGTAGCTTGAAAAACACTCTAAGTGCATGTGCATGCCCAGAATCCCAAGAGAAACAATGGAGGAGAAGGGACTGCAAAGTGACCATCCCACTAGAGGTAAGGGAGAGAGCAGGGACCTACGGTTTCTCTCTTTTCCTTCCCTCTCCCTCTCTCCCTTCCTCCCTATCAAGTGCATGTGCACCTTAACAAATTAAAAAAAAAATTAAAAAGTTTAAACCTGATTTGAGTTCCGTATTACATCTTAAGCTTTATTTCAAGCACATGCAGCCCTCCTAATCTTTGTTAGTTTGTGTTTTATTACAGGGAATGACAACAAGGATTAAGGTTAAGAATCTAGGAGGGTAATTATATTTGACTGTCCCAGGAATATAACCACTGACATTGTTTTTCCGGTTCCCTTAGGTCCTGTGGAGCATGTCCATCTCAGAGTCCCATTTGTTGCCATAAAGAATAAGGAGGTCAACATCAGTGCAGTCGTGTGGCCCAGTCAACTGGGGACCCTTACCTATTTCTGGTGGTTCGGCAATAGCACGAAGGTTTGACCCTTTCTGATCAGTGTCATGTTAAATCTACTCTGAATGCTCTGATGCTCCCACTTCGGTGTTGATGTTGAGTTCACTGGAGGGGGTAGCAACACTGTGCTGTCATACACAATCCTGCACACCATAATCCCTAAAGTCTAAAATCCCCAAATATAATTTTAGAAAAAATAATAAAAAAATATTTAAAAGACATTTATTTACATCATAAAGGAGAATTACTTGATAAACACATAAAAATCATGGAACATTCCATAGGCCACATTATGCAATTAAATAGGTAAATAGTAGCATACCCCTTTTGCAAATATAAACACTCAAGCATATTAACAACCACACAGGTATAATAACAGTGTGAGCAGGTGAACCTTATTCAGAAATAGGTCAGAAAGAGAAACATGTAAATGCACATCATTAAGGTTCATAATTGTGTGCACCTTTCTAACTATAGTCATCTGGAACACTGACTGACTACTTAAGTCTTTTGACAAAATGGATCAGAAACCACAAGGAGTCACTACCAAGAGTCACCACCACATATGCTGTGGCCTAGGGAGCTGAACTCTCAAGAATTTTCATTTTTTATAAATGCAGATATACAGAAAGTATATCTCTTCATTTACTGAGAGTTTTAATATTTTTACATATACACACAATGCTTACACACAATGTCAACATTATGACAATGCATTTTTGCAGAGTCAGTTCTACAAAAATTGCATAAAATGAATTAGAACTCTAAAAGTCTTTATATAATTTATACCTCCAGTATGGGAAGTGATGTGACAATGCATAGTAAATTATAAAAGAAGAATGCTGATAACTTAAAATTGTGGAAAAAAACACAAAAAGGGAGAAAACATGCCTTCCCAGAATTTGGCTTCCTACCCTTTTTATAGTATTTTCTTAAATGGAAATTGTGGTTGAGAGATCTTTGGCTTTCAGTATTCCACCACTTAGGATTTTAATCATTTGAAATTGTGATTTGAGAGATTTTTAGACACTGGGAATTTTTAATTTCTTGCATTTCAACATTTTGGATAATGTGACTTTAAATTGTGTCTTTTGAGATTATGGCTCAAACCCAAGCAATAGGTGATATTAAATGAAGCTGTAGATCCACAGAATTGAATAAAATATGCCTTCTCATATCAAGTTTATTGATAAAAAAAGTTCAAATAATACTAAGAAAGAAAGAATATTTGGAAAAACTATACACATCTGCATGTTCTTGTTCCTTTAATCAGTGTTTTTAAACTTTCATTTGCATCTTTTTGTTTTAATCCTTTTCCTTTCCACTTATTATAATGTTTTATAATGTTCTATATGTTAAGAAAGTTGCTTATCACCTCTGGGATTAAGTGACCTAGATTCTTAAATGTAGGTTTGTGAAAACTAAGTGAGATAACTCATGTAAAGAATCCTTCTCAATGCCTACTAGATATTCTACAAGTTAGTGTTCTTCTTAGGCAAGGTACTGAAGTTGACAAATTTCAAAGAAAGGATCGAGAGGGCTCAATCTGTGAAGCTTCCAAATATTTCTAGTGATGTGGCACCTAGGTTGAGACTGGCCAGAGTTGTATGATAGAAGCTGAGAGGAGCAGTTAGGTGGAGAGTTCCTCAATTTAATTAATGTTAATGTTCTCTATTGGTTGTTTTGCCTTTTTTTAAAAAAAAGTTTTTCTTTTTACAAGAGTTTTAGGTTCACAGCAAAATGGACAGAAAAATACAGTGATTTCTCATTTATTCCCTGCCATAACACATGTGTAGTGTCCGCCATTATCAACATCTCCTAAAAGAGTACTACATGGCTGTCACTGATGAATCTGCATCACCACATCATTATCACCCATAGTGCGGTACATAGTTTACATTAGGGTTCACTTTTGGTGTATACTCTATGGGTTTACAGAAATGTATGATGACATGTATCTACATTATAGTATCAAACAGAATATTTTTGCTGCCCTAAAAAATCCTCTGTGCTTAATTTATTCATCCCTTTTTCTCCTTTAATCCTAGGAACCATTGATCTTTTTACGGTTTCCATAGTTTTCCTTTTCCAGAATGACATATAGTTAAATCATGCAGTGTGTAGACTTTTCAAATTGTCTTCTCTCACTTAGTAATATATATTTAAGGTTCCTCCATGCCTTTTAAAAATTTATGTACGGTTCATCATTGTATATCTTTATAATGCACAATATGATTTTTCAAAGTATTCGTGTAATACATGACAATAAAATCAAGGATATTACCATATACATAATTTTCAACAGAGCACTTTACATTCTTTTATCTTTTAAATGTTCTTCCCTTTGCCCCTAGTATTCACCCTCTACCATACACTCCCCTTCCTTACCATCTCTGATATCTATCCTTATCCTCTCTACTACCATATCTTTGGATTTTGAATTTTTGCCATAGATTGCAAGCATTCAATATATATTAAGCAGTGATATACAGTGTGTGTCTTTCAAAGTCTGAATCACTTCACTTAGCAATAAGTCTGCCATATTTATCCACTTTGAATCAAATGACAGGTTCTCATGGTTTCTTGTTGCTGAGTAGTGTTCCATGGTATATATGTGCCACAGTTTTTCAGCCCAATCATCAGTTCTTGGACACTTAGGTTGCTTTTATGTCTTAGCAATTGAGAATAATGCCACAGTAAACGTGTATGTGCAAGTATCTTTCCTACTGATTGTTTTTCTACCCTTTGGGTAAATACCAAGAAGTGAGATTATTGAGTCATATAGTAGTTTTTTTTTTTTTGTAGGTTTTTTTAAGAACATCCATATTGTTTGATGGTAGCTCCTTTTTTGTTATCTTTATAATCAGTTTTTCATTATCTACAAAGTAACATAGGAATTTGTTTGGGATTGCATTGAATCTATAGCTCAAAAATGGGGACCAGCAGTTGCATAATGGCTATGTCGCTGGACTCCCACATAGTTGACCGTGGTTCGAGTCCTGGACCCGGTGGCTTAAACTCATGCTGGGCGCATGTGCGTGCGTGCCCAAGATTCCAAGAGGAGAATGGAGGAGAAGGGATTGCGGTGTGGACATCCCCCCTGGGGAGGGGGTGATTTCCTGCTTTCTGTCTCTCTGTCTCTCTCTGTCATTCTAGCGAGTGCACGCACCGTATAGCAAAAACCTCTCCAAAAAAGAAAAAAAATGATTCAAACTGGCATCTTGAAAATATTGAAACCTTCTACCTAAGAACATAAAATATCTCTCCATTTATTTAATTATCTTCTGATTTCTTTTAACAGAGTTTTGTACTTTTCCTTACAAAGACCTTGTACATATTTTGTTAGGTTTGTAAGTTAACTATTTGTTTTTCCATGGTGATAATTTAAATGAGATGGTGTTTTTATTTTAATTATTTTATGCATTCAGTCACTATATATTACCTAGCTTGTGAAGTCAATATGCCCAACATGAATACACTTCTCATCTGTCCAGTTGAAGATACTATACACATTTTCATCAACAGTTAACATCCATTTCTGTGTCGCATAAATGTCCTTCCTTTTTATTTTTCTCCTTGATTTCTTTTTTTATTTATACTTATTATTATTCATACATTAAATAGGTATACATCATTTATATTGTAATGAGACTTCACCTAGCATGATATACACCTCGGTCCAGCCCTTGCTGATATATAGAAAAGTGATCAACTTTTAAATATTAATCTTGTGTCCTGCAACTATGCTATAATCACTTATTAGCCTGAGGAATTTTTTTGTTGCTATTGACTTCTTTGGCTTTTATACATAGACAATCAAGTCATCTGTGAACTAATGTAGCTTTATTTCTTCTTTCCCAATCATATCTTTTATTTATTTTCTTGTCTTATTGCCTTAGCTGGGTCTTCCAGCACAAGGTTGAAAACAGTGGTGAGAGGAAACATCTTTTCCTTGTTTTTGGTCTTATCTTTTGGGAAAGCGTCTAGTTTCACTCCATTAAATATTATGTTAGCTATAATTTTTTGTAGATGTTCTTTGTCAACTTGAGGGAGTTTCTGTCTATTCCATAGTCCCAGCATTCTAGGAGACAGAAGTAGGGAGATTGTGAGCTCATGGCCAGTGTGTGCAACATAGTAAGACCTGTCTGAAAGAGTCAATCATGGTGGCATATGCTTGTCATCTCAGCTACTTGGGAGGTAGAGGCAGAAGGATTATGATATAGTGAAACTCTATCTATATGCACATACACTCACATGATATACACACATAGAAGAATAAGAAAAATAAAGGCTTTTTTGGTGTGTGTTTGAGGGTTTTTGTTTTGTTTTGTTTTTAATTTGTCAGAGGATGTATGCACTCACCAGAAAAAAAACAAAGTAGTAGAGGGAGAAAGCAACCGACAATAAGGTAGTCATGCTGCAATCACTTCCCCTTCATCTCACTGGGATTTAGGGCATGCATATACAAATGCCAGGCATGTTTTTCAAGTCTCTAGATCTGGGATTCAAACTAGAAGATCAGCCTTGTGGAATCCAGTACTCTTTTTTTTTTTTTAATTTTATTTATTCGTTCACCTATTTTAATTTGACCAAAGAGAGACATAGAGAGAGAGAGAGGGACAGTCAGAAAATAAGCCACCAAATCCAGGACTTGAACCGTGGTCAGCCATGTGGGAGTATCCAGCATCTTAACCACCATACCACCTGCTGGTCCCATCTTTTTTAAAAAAAAAAAATATTTTCTTTAACTTTATGTATGTATCTATTTATTTATTTATATTTTACCAGAAGCGACAGAGAGCGAGAGAAAGTAAGCCACCAGGTCCAGGACTCAAACTGTCATCGGCCATGTGGGAGTCCAGTGCACCCAACCACCATGCCACCTGCTGGCCCCGGAATCCAGTACTCTTAACCACTAGGCCAATGGCTGGTACATAAGTGCTTTTCTTTCTTTTTCTTTTTCCTTTTTTTTTTTTTTTTTTATGGCTCAATGTTTCTGACCTATATTATTTTCATTCTTTTT